ATAATACTCAATCACTTCCATCAACTCAAAAGTAAATTACATAAGCAAAAATATATTGACATTTATCATAAGATCCTACTTCAGACAAACATAACATATCATCCAAGGGTATTCCATACTTCAGCAGCAACATCAAGCATAAAGCTTATCTATAGAACCAAATTTACATCGAACGATCAATTTCTTTACTCACTTTTCTACTCACAAAAAGCACTGGAATAAGTAAAGTATTTGTCATAACATCCTACTTTGGACATAAAGGCCTCACTGAATTCTTACCTATCTTCGACATTTTCCCCATCAGACGCCAAACCAACAACATATCCTCGATCATACAATGGCGAGCAATCATTGTTCATAGATAATGACTCTTTCCGTTGCCTTTTCTGGACATGGTCATCCATTGTAAATGACTAGCATCCAAAAGAAAATATATGTTAGGTGAAACCTTATATAAACAGTCAATTTTAGTGACTTGGGATGCCACTAATTCCTGTGCAAGATTGGATTTGTAAATGTCTGCCAATTAGCAAATACGGGAATATTAAATTTAGCAAATCAATGAAAATTTGAGAAAAAAAAAACTAATTTAAATCTGTATGGAGCTATGAAAAACAAAGTACTGAGAATTAACCCACTAATTGACATATGTTATATTAGTGGCAGACCGATCTTGACCATCTGGCCATTCACACACCTTTTCTCAAGTTCTGGACAATTCCAAATGTTAAGCTCTTGTAATGTAGTGAGTTCACGAAAAGATTCTGGGAGCGCCACCAAGTTATGGCAATTCCTTATTGACAACCACCGATACGTTGCCAAACCATTCTGGTAGGCCCCTTAATTCAGAAAGCTCATCAATGTAAGTTTCTTGAAGACTTTAGACATAGCATAGGCTCCTAGGAAGAGATTTCAGTTTTGAGATTGAATACAAGGTCAAGGAGCTAAGGCACTTTAGGCTTTGCAAAGAAAACGACCTGCCACTAATAGCCTCATCTTCACCATCATCATCATTCTTGACATCCCACAAATCCACTTTTTCACAGTGATAAAGCTTCAAATCCTCAAGGGAAGAGAGACGCTGTAATGCACTCGTTATGTCTCTCAGTCTCCCACAACCATTGATTATAAGTTGCCTAAGAGATGATGGAGATTCAGCCACTAATTTGGTCAATTCATGGCATCCCTTAATCCAGCTTGTTGCTCATTAGATAAATGAGCGATGAATTGTTGCTCATTTGATATATGAGCGATGAATTGTTGCTCATTTGATAAATGAGCAAAGAATTAGTTGCTCATTTGATAAATGAGCAAAGAACTGTTTGCTCATTTGATAAATTAGCAAAGAACTGTTTGCTCATTTGATAAATGAGCAAATAATTGTCGCTCATTTGATAAATGAGCAAATAATTGTCGCTCATTTGATAATTGAGCAAATGTTGCTCATTTTAATTCTTTTTGCTCATTTTATTTTTGTTCACTCATTTTATTTTCACTATATTACTTTTCATATTTAGTTTGCTCATTTTAATTATGTTTGCTCATTTTACATATCTTCTATTAAATTTATCAAATAATTACAAAATAAGAACATTCAATAGGAAATTTCACGAAAATAAGCTTTTATCAACATAAAAGTAACATGCAATAGGAAATTTTTAATTAAAATCCTAAATTTAGAACACTAAACTCTAAATATCTAGCAAAAATCATACAGTCAAACTCGAATAACCAAATTAAGAGCATTCAAATTCGAAATTTTCCAGAACACTAAGATCGAGAATTAGAACATCAAATTTGTAAATTTTAACGAAAATACTAAATTATGATCACTCATTGCTAAAATTTTAACTAAAATCCAACATTCAAACCATGAAATTCGAAAATATTGACAAAAATTAAGAAAATTATATTCGGAAAAAACTAACATAACTTTTGTTGATTATTTATCTGTATAATCTATGAAGTTTGTTGATTCTTGTTGCTGCTGAAATTTGACAAAAATCGAACGGAATTGTGGTCGAAATCCTTGAATCTCATTGAAATTGAAACTCGTAGTTTCTTCAGTTTGTTTTTCTGAGTAGCAGCAAGTATATGGATGAAAAGTTTGGATTTATTAGAGCCGTTGACATCGTTTGATCCTAAGGCTTAGATTTGTTCTCATATATTAGGAGTGTTCTCACATAAAGGGTGGCTCTCACCGGATCTCGACCATATATATATATATATATATATATTAAAATACATAATAGAGAATCCATAAAGCTATTAATTATTTAGTGCATCTTCACTTGTTCCAGTTTTGATATCCGAAGATTCAAACTCTTCCTCTAATTCTTCTATTCATCCTTTTTGAATTCTCCAAAGTCTGCAAATTCATGAAATACTAGCTCTAATCAACAAGCCAACATATAATATTTTAGGCAGTAAGTAAAGTAGATGTTCTGGACATTCAAGCTAAACAAATTAGCTACTTCGTTCTTTTAATTTGTAGCAACTAAAATACCAGTAATCACGTACAATATAGTTTCAGACAATGTATAATTTCGTCAATTTCTTAGTACATTTGTCAAATTATTTGTCATTTTTTTTAATCTAAAGGAGAATTTTTTTTTGGGAAGATAGAATCAAAACTAAAAAAAAAAGAGAGAGAGAGATTACCGAAGATTTAGAAGAACAATGATGGAGGAGCAACTTCAGATTTCAGAATAGATCTTCTCATTAGAGAGGAATTGATGGAGGAGCGGTTGCTTGTGTGTTATTTCGACTAGAATATAGATTTTAGGGTTTTTTTTTCGAGAGATGAAAATATCTTTGAGTATTTTAGTGGAGTAGTAGAAACTTCATTTTGTAGAAACTTTTATGGTACTATACACTAGTACATTATAAATTTTTTTAATTATTGTATTATAATTTAATTTTTTATATAGGTATGAGGTGGGTATAAGGCAAGGCGGGGCGAGGCGAGTATGACTTAAAATCCACCCCTGCCCCATCACTTACGGTGACCGTCAGCGAGTATGGTTTTTATTCCTATCCCTGCCCTGCCACCTGCCAAACCTAGCGGGCGGGGGTGAGGTGCGTCTCCTGACATCCCTAGTAAAAAAATATTTGGCAAACAACATATAGGATAGAGATAAAAAGTGTAATGAGTAATTATTTATAATATCAAGAAAGGACATGTTAGTTCTCTGTCCGAAGTCTTTTGTTGTCTTCTCCAATTCTGTCTTTCTTAATTACTCTGTTATACTCATCAACTGCTTAGTGTCATACCATCTACAGTGACCCAACTACTCTCCCAAGAGCCAAATCTTCGACCTTGTCACCCTTCCAACACTTCCCACTGTTCAATTTCGTTTGTCTCAGATTTTATACCGATTTACTGTAAGTTTCAACCTTAATTTCTTACAATTTATATAAATTTTCAACTAATTTAATCATATACTCTTTTGGGTATTTGATTTTTTGTAACTTTGTTAATGGGTATCTAATATTTTTTTAATCCAACTTTTGCTTTAATTTCCTTGAATTTTATACTGGTAGCTGATTTTGTTAATTGGTTTTTTTGGTTACTGTTGGTGAGCTTTCTTTTGATTACTATCTGGAATTTTTGGGTAACCAATTTTTTTTGCAAGATCTGTTATAATTTTACTTTATGTTTGTTTTCCATTTATGCATGCTGTGTATAGTTTCTTATGTATCTTCTGTGTTTGTTCTATTGGGTCATTCACTTATTTGGACTTCACTATTCAAGCCTTTCAGAGTGTTCAGTTAGGTTTTGGGGATATAATTTGGTATTTGTTTCGAAATCGGGTTGATTATTATAAGTGTTATCAGGCTGCTTCACTTACTGTTTGATCCCATGTTTTTAATGCCATCATTGTTCTTGAGGCTAAGCTGGATACATTAGCTTCAATATCCGATTGATGTACTATCGCTGATCAATATATTGTTCTTAACGAAACCTTCCGGAAACCAACTTCCTTTTCAGTTTGTTTTCAGATGGTTTCTCTCAAGAGCTATATAGGAGGGGTTTAGAATTATGATTGTATTCCAAGCATTGATCTGCTTGCTTCAAAGTGGTATTCTTTATCATCAATGCATGATGAAGATAAAGGATCCAAAAGTATTATCGCAATTCAGCTGTTCCTGAATTGTTAATACATGTTTTTTATATCTTGAATTAATAATTGCAAGTTTTTCAATTGGTTAGAGTGTTAGGCTAATTTACTCGTGTAAGTTGAGATGAAAAATCCCTTCAGAACTACTCCACAAAATACTATTTTGGCTATTATTATATATGTGAATTTATATATAAATATTCAAAAGAAACCCTGACATGTTCTTAATTGTTTTTGAGTAGGCTGACTAGATTCTTCTAGTGCCATCATGGCACCATTGGACTAGCCTTCGCTCATAACCCGTACTCATTTGATGATGTAAGCTAATTTCCCATCTATTTTATGCATAATTAAACTGTTGCAGAATGTAAGACATTCATGCTATGGCAACTTTAATAGTGTTGAATTCAAATGACTAGATAGAAGGACATTACTGTAATTTAGATATTTCTTGCTGGGGTTTTTAGTAGGCTGTTTTTGGAAGCAAAATTTTAAAGTCAAATTTGGTAAGTGATTGTAGATAGCAGTATTGGCATTGAACTCACTACTTTAGATTCTGTATCGAGTGGTATTGAATTTATGAAGGAAAGCAATGAGGTTCCATTTGACCAATGCCATGGACACTGGAATGCGACTATCTTTAGAAAGCATCATAATAATTCATAATTATCATCACTGCTTGTTACAACTGATCAACAGGCCGTTAGAGTTATGCAAAACTTGGTGTTTATGATTTAATAAAATATGTTATTTGTTTCTAGACTTATATAACTCCCATTCCAAATTCTCGGCTACTCGGCTTTCATCTTGATCTTAATCATAGTTGTTTTGTTCTGCAGGAAAAATAATACACAGCCCGTGTCTGCCTGATATTGAACAATGAGTGCAGCTAAAGTGAAGCGTGTAGTTGGAAAGTATGAGTTGGGAAGGACAATCGGGGAAGGAACATTCGCCAAAGTAAAGTTTGCAAGAGATTCTCAAACTGGGGATCCAGTGGCTATTAAAATTCTTGACAGAGAGAAAGTTCTTAAACACAAGATGTCTGAACAGGTATTAATTTGCTTAATTACTCTTTCTGTTGTCCCTCAATGTCTTGGTTTAATTCTCTATATTTCTGTGTTCTGTCTTAGCAAGCTTTTATTTCATATTGTTTTATATGTGTTCATCTTTATAATTCATTTCTGCTGTTAGTTGCATGAATTAAATATTGCAACTGATTTGAAACATGCCCCCTCTCCTTTTCCTCACCCCCAAATAAGAGAAGACAAGGGAAAGTTACTGAATCTAAAGTACACTTTATTAGGGATCTTCCTTATTAGTATTTCACTTGTATATAACACAACCATAATATGGTTGGTATCGTGATTATCTCTCCCCCTTTCACTTCCTCTCATAGGCAAACTATTTTATTGTTTTTTTTTTTCCTCTAATTTTGTACGAAATATTCTTTATATAGTAACCATAAGTGTGTATGAGATGACATGGTGAGCCAAGAGCATGTTCAAGCTCACTCGTTTAGTTTGTTATAGTGTTCGGGAACGGCTCATGAACGACTTCTTTCTTAATGAGCCGAGTTGATTTACAAGATTTGTGCTTTTGTTATTTGGAAATCTCAAATCAAACCAAATAGTGTAAATCAACATTCATAAATAGTTGTAGATTAAAATATATACCCTGGTTGATTAATTTTGAAACAACAAACAAGCTTTTCCATCAACAAAATAAGTTTTTTTTTTCCATCATAAAAATAAACGATCTTGTTCATGGACATAAATAAACGAGCCGCTCATGATTTAATTAACCAAGTTGTTCATGAACTTATATGAATGAGTGTACCTTTTTCCGTGTTCAAGTTCAATTCATTCGTTTGATAAACAAACATAAATGAGCTTTGGCTGAGATCAAAATTGCTCACTTAGTTTTTCCTAGGTAAGTGAAAGTTGTGCCTTAAGTTTCTACTTCCTGGAGTCAGCCAAGAAGTATTTAGACACTTCCATGGAAATGAAACTCCAGAGGATCATTTTGCCTGAACTTCATGCATCCAACTTACTGACCAACTTGTGTTTACAGACACTAAACATCAATGTTAATTGTTGCAATGCTTTAACTTGCAGATAAGGCGGGAAATAGCTACGATGAAGCGAATAAAGCATCCACATGTAGTTCGCTTGTATGAGGTCTCTCTCTCTCTCTTTTCAATTTTGAATGTCTCTATATGTGTTTGTATAAGCTCCTTGAATCCTTGATTCTCGTTAATAACCTTATTGTGGTATGCTTTTAACAGAGGTTATTACTTTCTCTACCCCTAGTAAAAGTCTCATTTTGTAAATGCAAAGCCAGACAGGAGTCAGGAGTTTTAAACGAGAATTTGTGTTTTTTTTTTTTACTTTTTAGAGTTAGTATATCTCTAAATTATCAGTAATCTATATAGAAGTCGACATCAGAGCTTTGTTCATTCAGCCAGGATTACCTATCTTAGTATATCTATGTTACCTATTTTAGTATTTATTGTTCTTTTAATTTTTATTTTTTTTTATTTCAGTGAAGGTTTAGGTCCTCGGGAACTTTTTATTTTCTTTTGGTTTGGGTTTGTGGTTCTCATGGGGTCCTGATATTACTTTATAGAGTGTGGAAAATTTTTGCGTTCTAGACTCGGTGTAATTCGCAAGTGTTCTTGTAAGATTGAAAGAAGAGTTGTGCAATTATTATTTGAATGCCTAAATAAAGAAAATGAGACATTATTATCTGACTGACAGATATATTCTAGAGCTACTATACCATTTTTTTTTGCTGTAGCTACATAAGATCTGGAATGAGAGTGAGGGATAACTCAAGTGGTTAGAGTTTCCCTCCCGGTTCTAGGTGATCCTGGGTCGATTCTCATCACTCGCCATTATGGCTTTCTTAACACCAAAAAAAAAAAAAAAAAAAAAAAAAAAAAAAATCTGGAATTTGGTTCTATCCTTTGGACATTGCTTCCTTTAATGACATATTCATTCTTTAGGTGATGGGGAGCAAGACAAAGATATACATTGTTTTGGAATATGTGACAGGAGGGGAGCTATTTGACAGGATTGTAAGTCTCTCTGATTATTTTTCAGGTGATACCTTGTATTTTGCTTTTGTGTATTTAATACTCAGGAATATGATATTTTAACTGGAGGACAATTCATTGTGTAATTTTATATATCAGTTGAAATTTAATTTCACATTAGGAATTGCGGTTACTTGGAGATCCTAAATTTTTTGGATCTGTTGTCCTACCTTAGCTTGTATTATAACTAAAGATATTGGTATTGATTATTGAAGGTGCACCATGGACGAATGATGGAAGATGAAGCAAGGAAGTATTTTCAGCAGCTGATAAATGCTGTGGACTATTGTCATAGCAGGGGTGTTTACCATAGAGATCTGAAGGTATGACTTAAAACTTGGTCTGCACGAATAATGAAAAGCGTTACCCGAATGCACAATTTAAACTGAAGAGACTCCGCTCATTAGTTCAAAATTTTGAATTTTGTGATTAAGATATAGTGCTCAAGGTCTCAAGGAGTCAAAGGTATTAAATTATTCTGCTGGAAAAAAAAAGAACATTTCCAATATATTCGGAAATATTTGCTGAAATGAATATATGTCACAAAGACTACCTCACCCCCTCTGCTAGTCATGATTTCTTTCTAAATCAGCAAAACAAGCATAATAAAAGGCCTTGGTTCACCACCCCTTCCACCCTAGAACCCACCATGTTCATTGTGTCTACCACCACATCCTTGAATCAGTCATTCTTTTCCGCTTACTCTTGTTCTTCTTAATACTTGGAGCTCTCCTATCTCCTCCTCCTCCTCCTCCTCCTCCTCTCTATTTCTCTCTCTAACCTAGCCTTCCTCCACTTCCTCTCTCCTAATCTCACTCACTTTATTTTAGTTTTTAATTTTTTATTAATCTTGTTTTAAAGCAGACCCCACTTATGGGATTAAGGCTTTGATTGATTGATTGTTTGTTTTAAAGCAGACTACATAGTTGGCAAGAGTCAAGATAACAGCCATTAGTTAGGGAAGGGGAGTAGAAAGGGAAGAAGAGAAGATGAGAGGAAAACAATTTGTGGATGAGAGGAGAGAAAAAGAGGGATACTGGTTGTGTGACGGTGAGTGGAAGGGGTGGAGACTGGAGATGGTCTTGTTGGAAGGATGGTTGTGGTTGGTGTTGTGTGGCTAGTGTCTTCAGATTCCAGTGAGTGAGATACAGAAGGATGTGAGTCCATGTTACATAAAGTTGTGGGGGTTAGGAGGGCTACATATATCTGTTTTGAAATAAATCAACTTTCTACCTTTATTGGTAATTTTATAAAATTAATGTGTTTTGAGCATAGTAGCCACTGTTGACTGTTATAAAGCACAAACAAGTCTGCAGTGTGGACTAAGTTACTGATACAGGCAACATTTTGGAATACATATTTAGCCAATTATTTTTATATTTAAAATCAGTTTTATACCTTTGATTATCATTGTTATCTTGAAATTTGAATCTTTATGTGTTTGTTTTTACAGCCAGAAAATTTGTTGTTAGATTCAGGTGGGAATCTCAAAGTTTCTGACTTTGGCTTAAGTGCAATTTCTCAGCAACAAGTCCAGGTAGTCATATCTATTTTTAAATTCATGAATTTATTATTCTATGAATTTGAGGTCATAAGTTACCTTATACTTAAGAGTGCCAAAGAAGGTTTAAATGCTTTAGATCGCTGGTATTAGTTCCATAACATAAGGATTAATTGTATTTGAGTTGATCGTTTCCATGCTCCATTTAGTTAGCTTAATTATGATCAACTCTTGTATTGTGTGCACCTGCTGCACAATATATTGTTATATCTGGGAAAGCTCTGTTTTCCTGACTCCAGTAAACTGCATTCAATCCTATTCTCCACTGGATTGTATACTTCCCCATCCACACTCTAGAATACTCCACTCTCTTCAACTGCATGGTCAAAATTTAACAACTAGATGTGAGCTCCTCTACCTCTTGCCTCCCAGTCATGGGGAAGTCTCCTGCCTCCTGGTGTAAGTCAATTGCATTTTCATACCCACCGTTTGTCCCTTACCATGCCGATTTTCACTGTTGGCCAGTCTAGTATCAATGAAGTAGAGTAACCTTCGATGATTTCTGTGAGACCATTCTAATTATTGCTCTCTTGAAACACTCTTTTTGAGCAACTATTAAGATCTGCTCCAATGATTGTCACTGTACTTCTATATTTTTTGCTTTCAAGTTTCAATTGAGTACTATCATACAATGAACACACTACTATCCTACAAGTCACATTCCACAGGTATGAAATAATTAGAAGGGTAATTCATACTTCATTCTAAGCAGAAGCTTTGATGTTCATAGATTTAAGAACATTAGTCATCTGACAACATCATAGTCAACACTGAACAAGTCAAATGGTATTTAAGAATTGACCACCCAATAATCTGCAAGAAAACTATGTGAAAGAGCTCTCCTGCTCGCACTCTTTTCTTTGTATAAGATTGTAGTCATTGATGGGTCTGATCAAGAGTACCTCCCCTCCATAGAACCAACTCTTTACAAATATTCAACTACCACACTAGTACCTCAAAATGGCTAAAAGATCCACCTTTTTCGGGAAGGCAAGAAAGAATTATTCAGCTTATTTATGGAGGGATTCACCAGTCCTTGATATTAGTTGATACCACTTGTAGTCTTTTCCAAAGCAGTTCTCTATTTTCCCACATTCATAAATGCCACCTCAATGTTAACAAGTTGCTTTTTGGTAGCTTCTTTAACACTGGGTTTTCTCTTCCTTAGTGAATCCTTTGACGACCTTTATTAGCCTATAGCTCATCCTATATCAAATATAGAACACAAGGATAACATCCAAGACACTAGTGTTATCTTTGAGATTCCAATCTCTTTAAAGGTTTTCTATGCTCTAATGCCTGTCTTTGATGATTGCTTTGACACATACAAGCAGGATGCAGTGTGCGGATTGTGCCTGTACCCAAAGACTTATGCTCTAATCATAGTGCCGCATGGCACCACTATTCTTAAAGGCAAATCCATATGACTAAGAAAAAACCTCACTCATAAACTTGTGGGAAAATGTGGGAAAGACTTCACTCTCATTTGTATAGGGCTAAAAAATAAAGACAGAAGACAGTGAGCCACCACCTGATGGTTACTAGAACTTGTGGTCTGCGAAAATTTGGGCTGATAGCCTCTATCTTCTTAAAATCTACGGCCTATTCCTGAATGCTTACAAAAAGCATTCCTTAGATTTGGGTCATCATTATCCAGCCCAAAAAATTCACAGCAAGTGTAAATTGGAGGCTTTGAAGCTTCCCTTGCTATCTGTATATACGTATTTTTTTTCTCAAAGTGATTTTTATTTTCATTTTTGGAAAAATGTAATGTGCACATTTTGTTCAAAATATATGCACATCACATTTCAGTTAAACAAAGCTGCACATTTAGTTTAAATATTATGCACAATAAATTTGTCTCATCCTTCTCATTTTAATATATATATATATATATATATATATATATATATATATATATATATATATATATATATATATATATATATATATATATATATATATATATATATATATATATATATATATATATATATACAAAGTAGGATTAAGGTCATGCTCTTTTCAACCTAAAATCCATTGTAATCATTTATATAAATCAGTTTTGATCAGTAAATATTAGCTAACTTCATTTAACAATAATAATAGAGAAGCAGTAAATATCAGTTTCAACCAGTAGAATTCAGTTTTGCTCAGTAAAAATCTGCGGTCGTAACTTTATTTAAAAATCATTTTCGGCCAGTAGAAATCAGTTTTTCTCAGTAATTATCTCATTATAATAATTCCAGTAATCCACTTTAGTGATTATCTGGCAAAGAGAACAAGGCCTAGTAACCTGAGGATAGAGTGTTTGTTTGTTGAAGTATACTAAATGCTGTTGGACTGATGTAGTAGTGGGTAGGGGTGAGCAAAAAATCAGGGTACCCTGAATCGGAACTTAAACCAGTTAGGAACTGCAGGTTCTGGTTCTGGGTAGTATCACTTAATTTTAAATTATGCACCAATTTTTTGGAACTGGAACCTGTAACCTGTTAAAAGTATCACTTAATTTTAAATTATGCACCAATTCTAACTTATTTTTTAAATAATAAATATCAAAATCACAATTATAAATATACGTATCGAATTTGTTAGACAACTACTATTAGTTTGTTTATTTTGCGAGTTGTAAACATTATAAATTAGTGACCAACCGGTTTTTTTATTAAAAAAATCTGCAAAAAGTTAGTAAGTATATTACAAGACAGGGTACCCTGAATCCGAACCGGAATCTGTAGGTTCCGGTTCCCAATTTCCAGGAACCTGTTTAACAGGTTCCGGTTCTGGTTCCCATTTTGAGGAACCTGTTGCAACAGGTTCCGGTTCCGGTTCCGGTTCCAAGAATTTTTACAGGGTACCCTATTATGCTCACCCCTAGTAGTGGGTCAGGGAGTGATTTATTCGAGGCCAATTGTCCTGACTTTTGGATAATATATATGCATTTCTCTTGTATTGCAGAGTTGTGATGGTATATAGCGAATGAAAAGATGTAAACACAACAAAACACAGTCAACTTTTTGTAAGAGCAATATACTGATTAGGGGTATACAAACATGTAAAATATTGAAGTAATTACTTAATGATCTTTGATTTCCAGGGCGATGGACTTCTTCATACAACTTGTGGAACTCCAAACTATGTTGCTCCAGAGGTGACTTGTCTATCGTGCCAACTTGCTATTTTGTGCTTACGTATTTGTGCATTTTTTGTTGTAGCTAACGGCCTTTCTCTAATCCTATGAATAATAGGTCCTTAATGACCTAGGGTATGATGGGGCAACAGCAGATGTGTGGTCGTGTGGTGTTATTTTATTTGTATTGCTCGCAGGTTACTTGCCTTTTGATGATTCTAATCTTATGAATCTATATAACAAAGTGAGCAAGTTTATGTAATTGTATTTAATTGGTCTTCATGTTTTTCCTAGTCTGTATCTTGATTTCTTTGTTTCAATATGCAGATCTCAGTAGCTGAATTTACCTGCCCCCCTTGGATGTCTTTTAGTATGAGGAAATTTATTACGCGGATCTTGGATCCCAATCCTATGACAGTGAGCTCTATTGCTTTATAAATCTTCATTAAACATATTAACTTTGTTTTCTTTGAGATTCGTGAAATATTAATGTGAATTAAAATGTCTTTCGTAAGAATCCCAATCTAGTGGCAGTGAGATTATCTTTATGATACATTTTCTTTTCATGTATTTGTGCTCACTCAATTTATAGTGACTTGAAGCATTTTATTTATACTTGGCAGCGTATAACTATCCCAGAAATTCTAGAAGATGAGTGGTTCAAAGTAGATTATAAACCTCCTGTTTTTGATGATGAAGATGATACTAGCTTAGATGATGTAGATGCAGTTTTCCAGGATGCAGAAGTAAGTTTAGTGATAATATAGGATCTAGACTTTGTTCATGTTGATTTATGGTTTGTACTGATATGTTACTTTCTTCTCAACAGGAACATCATGTGACTGAGAAGAGAGAAAAGCCAACTGCCATGAACGCATTTGACTTGATTAACATGTCAAAAGGGCTAAACCTAGGAAGTCTTTTTGATACAGATCAGGTTTCTCTTTCTCCTGTTTTGTCCATCTTTTGAATAGAGACCTGAATATTAGACATCTGATATGTAGCTGATGATACTTCAATCATATGCAGATTATCATTCTTTTGTAGACAAAATGATTTTTCTTTCTGTGTGAGGGTAGTGGGGGTAGACAAGGAAGATAATGTAAAAAAATTGCTCATCAATTTTTGAATATGCCAGTGTCACAATATGCCCTATGGGATATTATTATTTTATACCTCGATGAATGCAGGGAAAGGTCTTCAATTTAAAATTTCAATTGCTTTAGTCAAAACTACTGTTTCAATTGTTTTGTATGCTTTCCTGCATTACACTTTGCGTGCAGTTGGATCCCTTGGAGATGCTTGTCTGCACTTGCAGATTGAGGGGTTCCTTGCCACACAATGCTTAATCTCTGTCCTCAACCAGGTTTTTAAAAGAGAAACAAGATTTACATCTCGTAGCCCTGCCAGTGAAATAATTAAAAAGATAGAAGAAGCTGCAAAACCTCTTGGTTTTGATGTGCACAAGAAAAATTACAAGGTAAACAATGTGCAACATTTAAGCCTCTATATTTCTGACAGATAAAGGGGTTGATGCTAGCAGAAGTGAGGTAATTGTGGGTTAACAAAATTTTGATTTGACACTAGTTTACTTCTCTATTTTAGATGAGACTTGAAAATATGAAAGCTGGTCGGAAGGGAAACCTCAATGTCGCTACAGAGGTAGTGAAAATGAAAACTGAGTATGCTGACATGAGAAAATCCTCTGTATGATAATCTCATTTATACGTCTTTCTTTGTTATAGGTACTGCAAGTTGCCCCATCCCTTCATCTGGTGGAGCTTAGAAAAGCCAAGGGAGATACCCTGGAATTTCACAAGGTTTGCTTTTTTGTTCTTGTTTTTGCTGTCCATTTAGATTAGTTGTCATATTATCTCAACCGCTCACAAGTAAGGATATAAGCAGAACTAGTTTCGTGAAGGGTAGAGAGGGAGGGAAGGGGAACTGTGAAAGGTGGGCGAAAAAACTGAAAAGGAGATGCAATAGAAGAGAGAATAAAACAAGTAACTATTAATGATCTACATTGCATCTTTCTTTATTTTTCCCAAAAAATGGAAGATATTAGAAGCAGGGACAGATGTCCTTCTGGGTTTGTGATTATATAGACTAGGTATAGATTTTACTATACACTGTATAATAGTTGTTTAACATTTCTCCCCATTCATGAAGTATTCTCATTAAAGTTTTTTTTTTTTTTTTTTTTTTCGTTGCTATGAGAGTTATAATTATATTAGAAAATCTAACAATATATGTAAAGATATTTTTATGGGAGTATATTTTGTGTATATTCTGATATTCTCTATAAGTTGTCTTGAAAATTCAATACTAGACTATTACCATTTTAGGATAGGTGACATCATTTCCACACATTTTAATATTTTATAATAGTACAAGTGATTAATTATTCTGGATAGAGGGTATTAAAAAAAAAAATCTTATTTGTAGCATCATGAATATTCAAACTGAAAGTGTAATTGTAAAAGATCACTAGTGCCTGCCTGGCCTGTTGGTTTACTTGTACATCATTGTCATCTTTTTGCAGTTCTATAAAAAGCTTTCTAGCTCATTAGAGGACGTAGTTTGGAAAACAGAAGAAGACATGCAAAAATCGGACTAGAAGTGAAAATACTATCGTGCTTAAGCCTGGCCAAGATCACTATCTATTGTCATTATGATTATCGTTGAGACGTCGACACTTCTTCTAGTAGCTCCTCCTCCTTGTGTTGAATAATTTTGGCAGTTTAGCATGGTTGAGTTCGACATGTTCTGAATACTGTATCAGGTACTAGTGAATTAAACCATTGTACAGTTTGTATGACTCAGCCTTGACATACATGTATTGTCGGGGTTGACACCATGTCAGTGTGTCATTGTATCAACAAGCAGAATAAATAAAATTATTGCTTCCTCCATTGTCTTTCAAATGACCTGTTCTTATACTGTATTAATGTAATCTACTTTGACTATTTTTGGTATTTCTCTTTAGAAAAAAAATAAAAAATAAAAAAAATAAAAATAAACATAGTATCATGAGAAGATGTTAGATTTGTTCTAATGTTTAATTTTTAGATATAATTTGTTTTTTTTGTGTATAATTTTACTAAATGATAAAGATATCTTTATTTAAGCGAAGAAGTAGAGTTGTGGTGTCCACTTAAAATGCCTTTAATTTTACTTAATCTTATAAAATGGATGGTGTATATAAATTTAGAAGTTCAAATCATGCATCGTGTGCATATAGTTGTAGTAGTGATTAATGTAATGTATTGACAAACACGATTTCATGAAACCAGTTCATATAAAAATATGGAAAATTTGCCAATTGCAGCCATTTAAAGTTTGTATTTTTCAAATTGCAGCTATTTAACAAAAAAAATTGCAAATTACAGCCCAACGGTACTAATAAATTGTAAATTACAACCCAATTTAATTTTTTTTATCGATTTACGTGCCGAAAAACATTTCGTTAAGGTTTTACGGGCCATTTTATCTCTTAAGGATCCAAATTGAGCTCGAAATTGACAAAAAATATAACATAAGGGCCTCGTTTTCACGGCAAAAGATGTACGTTGGATTCACCAAAAATACATAATCTAAGGTGATAGAGCTAAAAGGGAAAATGAAAGTCTTCACTTCATATTCAACCCTTGATAGGTGTATATATTTATTGGAGAGGTCATTTTCTACAGACCAAAGTTCATTGCAATGTGTTGAAATAATGCAAAATGTATTATATTGGCTAACTTATATTGAAGTATACAAAACAATTACCTGCTGTGTTCACTCTTAGTTGCAACAATTTGACATGAGAGCTATTTGGTCAAACTGTTGAATTAAAAGTGAACGATGAAAGTATGTATTAGTACAAACAAAGGCTTTACGATTTCCCCCAAAAGAGAGCGAACTTTGTACCTAACATTATTTCCAGCAAAAAGGGAGCAAGAATTGCATCAAAAAATAAAAAATAAAAGCAATTAAAAAAAGGATGAAAATAAAAGGCCTGCATTCAATTGACGCTACAAATAAGATTCAAAATTTTTAAAACGACATCACAAGTTATTTTCTTTTCTTAATGAAGAACAAAGTGTAAAAGTTTTTACAAAACAGGGACACAAATCGCCAAAATCCACTCAAATTACAGTTACGATCCCTCCTACAACCACTGATAATATCAACAAAAGCATTATGAATCATATGTATATTGATGAATATTACGACCAACTACAATGATGTACTGCAACTAACACTACACAGCAAAAGCTTGATGACAAGTTACTGATAATCAGCTTTCATCAACGAGCAAACATCATGGCATTCGATCTTCAGTATCTTGTAAATTTCGACCCCAATTAACAATCTCTCAGTCAAGAAGATTGACAAAGCAGTAAAATGTCACTAGGTCTGCTTTTTTGATGCCAGGTATATACCGGAAACTACTGCAGCCCCTGCAACTGCTACACCAACAGTTGTAAGGACCTTCACAGCTGAGAGGAAAGGACGACTTGTTGGAATTTCCATTAAATCCGCGACCTACAAATGGCAAAACAAAACCACTGAAAATCCAGAGATAGGTGAAGATTGCCAACACACCAACTTATATTTACGAAAACTCGGTATACAAAACAGATCCCTTTGGGTGGGGGGTTTTACTAAAGTCTACACTCATCTAAAGGTTTTTGTATCAAAGCAGCCACTCGTAAAAGGCTCAAAACAGATTTCCCTTAAAGACTTAATCTGCTGAGATGATACTATTGAAAACAGATTTTTGAAATGGAATAATGTTAAAAGGGGAGTAATAGATACTAATTGGTGGCAAAAGTGCTAGTAAAAATCTTCAAGATAAAAAAAAGGGGGGTAGCATGGAAAAGAATAAAACACAGTAAACCAGCTTATCAAGATTAGGCCTACATTTTTAATTTCTTAATATGAACAATCAGTGCATATTAGTCAGTTTAATTGAAGTGACTTCATCTATCAATATGTAAAGGTGACGTCAGTCAATATGTAAAGATATTGATTTATCTCACAACATAACTTCTATTAGAATCCATAATAAAATAGTCAAGGCACGTTGGATGACAATTAATTTTCAGCATTATCTATAATAACACAATTTGACAAGTTTGATAGTCATTAACCTCAACAGGTTGCTCCCAGTTCCTCTTTATACCCTGTAGATGACCCTTCCCAACAACTGCAACCACTGATGTATGCTCCCTTGCAACCCTCAATAATGTAGATGACATATACCTAGGCCACGCAAAGATCCAGTGGCATATCAACAGGTTGACAAGAATAAAGACAAATAATATAAAGATAAAGAGCTATTCAGTTATTCCTCTTTAAAACACCTATAATCCAACAAAAATATTTTGCATTTACCAACTGCAAGAGCAGAAACCAAGCCAACCAACTTACACCCAGTTTCTCTGAGCATTTCCTGAGATGTGATGAGAAGCAAATTTCTCTTAAAGCACCTTTTGTTGCCTGTCTTTTTAGGTCTGTCAATCTTTTACATGGAAGTACACCCTCTTCCCGGTTCATAGTTTTATTAGAGGCTAGAGTTCCCCTTGAGGTGAGAACTTTTGTGTGAACCTTGGGTTGGATAGAATCAACATTAGTGATACACTCCAAAGGAAGATCAGGGATAGCTATTTTGCTGGATGTGTGCATGTTGTGTTGTGCAAATAGTGACTCTTTCTCGCATGTCATTTTCATTGTGAAATGGCAAGTAATATTTGGAAGTGGCTATTTTCTGTGGATGGGGAGTACCGAATTTTCTCTTGTACTAATTTAGATCTGTAACAAGTTCTCTTCATTTATTTCAATTAATCTGTTTTGGGAAATTCTAGATGGGTGAACTCCAGTTTTGAAAAATTCTAGATGGTGGAAATATTTTATAATTTCCATGGCGACCTTGTGATTTTGTTTAACACAATTCTGTGACTATATATAGCATATTTCGTTATAAATTTGTTACATATTAAGGAAATCTATATGGTGACCTCTACTTTTGCAAAAATAATCTCTTCATCAATTCCAAGAATAAGAGATGGTATGTGATTATGTTTTAGCACAATTCTGTGACCATATACAGCATATTCAGTCAAAATTTTGTTAGATAATTAATATTATTTGGGAAATTCTAGATGGTGACCTGCACTTTAGCAAAATTCCAAGTTGTGGAATTTTTTTTTTTTTTTTTTTTTTTGGTGGTGCAAACGATGGTTTCAAGGTCTGTAGAATGTTGTGTTGGCTGGTTGGGTGGTGTTGCATGGGTTGCTAGACAGAAAGTAGAAGAGAAATGATAATTTTAACAGATTTTATAGCATAATGTCACGGAAACATATTACTTGTAATAACTATCAACAGTTTAGTCACAATTGAAAATTGAAAAAAAAAAAAAAAAAAAAAAAAAAAACCATCTGGAATTTTGGACAGTTGGAATTTTGGACGGTTGGAGGTCACTCCATCTTTATTTTTGCTATTTGAGAAAAATTGTCTTCTGTTCTTGTAATTCTGCTGACAGCTCAGCAGTAAAAATTTATTTATTTATCAAAAAGAAGAGGAAAAAAACAACTAAGCAAGTTTCTCAAAGGCAGACAATAAAAGAGCAAATAACTTTAAACTTTATCAAATTTCTGTGATACGGAAAATACATAGGTGTATCATTCATTTAATAGGTGTCCAGCATACCCATGAAAAAGAGAAAACCGGTAAGATCACCTAACTGAAGAAGAGATAGAATGGCGTTTATCATATCAAGCTTATAGAGGTAAGAGTGCTTTGAAAAAAAAAAAAAAAAAAAAAAAAACTGGATACATAGGCAAGAGAAAACTAACAGATCTCGCTCATTCACTAGTGTTTCCATCAATGTGGGGAACTCTTTGCTCATTTCTTGAATCACGAAAGTCAACATATCGACATCATCCATTTCCTTTAACTGGACAAGTGTACAACATGTCAAACCTCAAAGCAATACAGAAATGCGCATCAAAAATGAAATGAAAATTTACGAGAGTAATTCTGATATCAGCAAGTCAATTCATGTAATAAACTTTACCATTCTATTTATATCATCTGGGCCTGGGAGAAACACTGCTTGGAAGAGAAAAGAGTACACTAGTTTAATCTTATGCCAAAGTGGCATTTTACTCCATGTTCTTCGTAATGTGACCTAGTTCCAAAATACAACAGCAAAATTTGACATCATATATACATATTAAGATTTTAACAACGAAAGTTCCAAATAATATTCAAAATGACATACAACAAATTGTGATCATACTTGCATACAATTTTGGTCTCTAACACCATGAGTTATGAACCAAAAGTAGGAGTCACACAGGAGGGGGAGAGGCAAGAAGAAAGAATAGGAGATGGGACCATTAGTCATCATAGAAGACCAAAAGAGCGAGAGCATGATGTGAAATAAAAAAAAAAAAACAATGGTTGTCTCGACCACCAAGGAGTCATGAACTAGAAGTGGAAGTCACACGGGAGCCATGGGAGGGATAGACTCATGAAGGAAGAATAGGAAAGGGGACCATAAGTCATCAAAGAAGACCCAAAAGAGAGAGCATAATGTAAATCACAAAATACTGGTGTGGTTGCATTAACAAGAAGAAAAGAAAATCCAAGGGAGGGGAGAGAGAGTGAATGTGTGGAAAATAAAAGAGAGAGAAATAGTCCTATAAAAGGGAAAGCTTCTGTGGTTGACTTTTCTCTGGGGATCCAGCAATAAGATGTTTTGTAAAGATGCTTAGTCTATTAAGGTACTATACTACTATTTTCCCCAAAAAAGCTCTCACGTAAATGTGTCAAATAAGGTACGTTCTGACAAATAACCCATATTTTCAAAAGAGACTAGTGAGGAGGGTATGCGCCTATGCGGCATTCTTAAGGAGAGAAAAACATCAACTAAATGTGTTCTCCATAAGGGTTTTTAGTTTGGAGAACTCCATAG